TTCTAATTAAATTGATGTTTATTGTGTAAAGAGTAATAGGTTAAGAAATGCTTCTCTCTGCGGACATAGGCTTTTTAGGCTATCAAGACCACTTCTGTGACACGTTGACAGATGCAGAACTTTTAGATATTACTAAATGTTGTTTTCAGATATCTCGAGGTTTCCTTAGTTCAGCATTGCAGGACTGCATGTTCTCTTCCAGAACAGGGCTGGATCCAGAGGGCTCATTACTTTTCAAGGGCAAAGCCCTGCTGGACTACAGTTCAGAGGGGAGAGGTAGAAGGGCATCAGGTGAGTGTAGCCTCTGACTGGAGAGCTGGAGCACAGCCTATAATGCAGTGTGGAAGCTGTGGGTTACAACTGAGCTGTCTTGGCAAAGCTGGGTCAGGGAACTTACTGCAGCTTCCACTTGCATTGCCCCCAGAGCTGGCTACTCAATGCCCTCCTTTCTTTAGGATCCTTTCAATGGATCAAGTCTGAACCCATAAAACACGCAGGCAGCAAACAGCCTGATCTTTGCAAGCAGGGTGTTCCTGGTGCAGAGGAAAAAAAAAAAAAATCCCACACAGTAACCTGTTCTGGAAGAACAAAGGCAGCTGTGTGCATGGAGTCAGTAACGCACACACTGCATACATCTGGGCTTTCCTTGTCACAAGTTGCACCACGGTTTTTGTTCGTCTGCCCGAGTGAGCTTCATTTTGAAACACCTTGGCTAATCTGAAGCTGGGTGGGGAACCAAGTGTTCCTTCTGGGCTCGTTGCTCTGTTGCTTATTTATTGACGTGCGCTGCCCAGACATTGCGGCATTAGATGCACTTTAAAAATGCAATGAAAGCATTTGTGTCTAGAAGACTGCAGGGAAGCAGCTCAAAAGGGCTTTGGGTCTTTTTTTTTCCACTCTTGAAAACATCACTCAGAGCCATGGATGACAGCTCTGGCAGATTAGATCTCAGCCTTCACATTGCCTGAGATGAATACTAAGCAGAGCTTCCATTTCACCCTTATGCAACAGAGTAAATAGCCACCACCATTCCTGCTTTAGAGACGGGAAGCCAAGTTAGAGAATACCACCCAATTAACTAAAGTCACATGGTGAGAGTCAGATGTGAGTACAGGAACTGCCTCACACAACGTTTTTTGAGAAGCTGCTGCTCACAGAGACATCCGACAGACACAAACTGGTGAATAAGCTGTGGAGAGACAGCAGCTGTTCCCTCAGCTTACAGTGCTGAGACCCAACCCCTACCCATGACCAAGGTTCCCAGCAGCACTGGGAGACAGGTACACCTGGAAAGGCTGTTAGTGATGGAAGGGGGCAGCCAGCACCTTGACACTACCTTGTTATAGATCAGAAGGAAAAATCCAAGACCAACAGGCAGGAGAAGCAGGACATGTGTGGAAAGATAAGCAGGGAGTGAAAGGATGCAGGCTGGGTGGCAGCGGGGACCTTATGTCTTCATGGCTCTTGCACAGGTCAGTGTTTGACGGAGCTGGGAGGATGAGAGGTGCTCAGCTGCATCATCACCTATGGATAATCCACATCCTTCCCAAGTCACAGAGGGAGGGTGGCAGGAAGAAGGCTGCCTTTGTGTTCCCTTCTCTTGCCAGGGAGGAACCTGCCCCCAGCTGATCAAAAGAGCATGGGTGCAAGGGTGGAGACGTGACTTGAGGGATTCCTCATGGAAGCAGCCTGTTTGTGCACAGCTTCCATCTTTGCAGACGTGCTGGGCCCAGCCTCAGAACAGCTTGGGCTGGGTTAGCCTAGGTCAGCGCTTTTGAGGCTTCTCGTTCCTTTGTCTCATCAGAGGCAGCTAAAGCCAGCCCTTCAAAGCAGCACCCCGTGCCACCGGGAAGCAAAGGCAAACAGATTATGCTAAGTAGATAATTAAAATGCCCAGAGTCCATCCCCTAAACTGCTGCTTAAAGCAGAGCAGCCATCCAGATACACCTGCTGTTAGGCTCTGTGCAAGGCAGAACAGCCAAGAAACACCTGACTCATGGCTAATTAACCACCTCTCCTCCCAGATTCCTTCCGTAGCTCAGAGACAGGGCAATGAGGCACCTGCAGGTGCCTCAACACTTGTGCTGAACAAATTCCTTCAAATCCCACAACATCAAGAGGAGGCCAAGCACGGCTGTGGCTGCTGCCAGTCCTGGTCATTGCACTGGTGAGAGCTGCAACAGCCACCAAAGAATTTAGCTGATGAGGAAGAAGCTGAAGGGCACTGATCTCTTCAGATGGCAGGAGGGCAGGCACTGTGCCCCACTGGAGGCTGCATCCAGCTCCAGGCACGCAGCAGGGGCTGGCTGCTGATCGCCTTTGCTTCTTGTTCAGTTTCACAGGAGAGCCTCATTTCTCACTTGAAGCTGTTCCTCCAGCATTGGAGAGAGTTTCCTCTCTCAATTTGCTGCAGAGAATACAAACACCATCTGCTTCACTGCATCCAGGGTCCAGATCCTTGCTAGCTGCAGATCCGGGCAATTGGAAATTCACACGCAGCACCAGTTGCAGCAGCACAAGGTTAATGCAGCCTCCAGTGCTTTGCAGTCCTCTGCCTACAAGTCCCATGTGCATCAAGAGCCATGTCACTAAGTAGCTGTTTTGTCTCACACAAAGAAGAAAGCTTCTTCAATTAAAGCAGTCTTTAAGCCTATTTTACTTGCAGAAATTAGGGGATAATAGGCGACCCACTTCCCTGGAAATAAGCCTGGCATTTGCTCAGCTGCTGCACGAATGTCTGAGAGCCTGGGGTCTCATCCTCCCCTCTGCCCCCAACAGTCCTAGAACTCAAAGTTCCAAAATTACCAGATGTCAAATAATTCAAAGTAAAGCACTTACAGACATCTCCCTGCCACTTCTCTGGCAAAGGGACATATTTCCCTCTGAAGGAAGAGGAGCAGTCAGCTATGCTGTGCCCTGCCTCAGAGATGGCATTTAGGTGCACCTCATGCAGCCACACAGGAACACCAAGCAGGCAAGGAGAATTGCCAGGAATCCCAGCATGTCTGATGCTTCTTCACCTGCCAGAGAGCCAAGGGGCTGCTGCAGCATTAGGGGCTATCATCAGCCAGGGCAAGGCTTCTCCCAGTATTTTCCAACTAGAGGCATTTCTACAGGCAAGAGAAAACCTCTGGAACTGAGACAGGAGGTTCAGAGTCACCCCTGCAGGTACAGAAATGAGTGCTAAAGGAAACAGCAAAAACAGAGAGAGAGGAGAAAAACCGACAAGAAAAAGCCAGCAAAGGAAGGAGGGCCCTGGCACTGCACAGGACGGTTTAAGCACATTCAGCCAGGAGCAGTCCAGCCTGGAGAATCAATTACAGGACAATGATTTGTCTGCTTGACTGAGGCTTCCTTTGGGTACTGGCTTCCTGCTCGGGAGAGCAGCAGAAGGTACTTACTCTGGTCAAGCACAATCCATGACTTATTACTGCAGTCCCTGCACAGCAGTCAGCAGGAGGGGAGCCTTAACGGGCAGCGAGACAAGCACATCACTTTTGTCCTTCTGACATTTCGCCCCACTTATCACTGCCTGCACTCAGAGCCAAGTCACCCTAAAGAGATCAAGATCCATTCAAACTCGCCCCCTCTTTGGAAAGCTGTTACTGCAGATAGAGCAGGAGGAATGGCACCTGGCTGAGGCCTGCCAGAGGGAGTGGTGCCAACTGCAGACAAGACCTGCAGTGATCCCCACCTCCAGCCTGCTTTCCATCCCCGTACCAAGCTGTGGTAGCACTAAAGCTCATCCCTTGTAGCTGTCCAACAGAAAGGTCAGATGAGGCTTTGCACAGACAAGGCGTGGGGTGAGGAGGTCCTTCTCTTCGTGTCCCATCTGTCTCCCCCTCTAGGACCTGCCATGGGTTGATAGCACTGGGGAAGATAATTTTCAGGAGGCCCAGGTTCTGCTTGCACAAAACAGATGCTGAAGTAATTACAAGCTTGCTTCTAACCTTGTTTGTCCTCTATTCTCCCTACACACACACCAACAAAGCCTTAATCCAAACCAATACTGAGGCCAGGGAGGACTTCTATCTCATCTCTTATACCAGCCAGTGGTACTTTGTGCTTCACCACTGCCAGGGACTGGTGACAAACCATAAAAAAAAAAAATAAATAAAAAAAATGGCAAACTGTTTTTCCAGGTGAGACATAGGAATACAGCCTGGGCTGCTCTCAAGCATCTCTTGGATTACCCAGAAACAGGAGGCTAACCCAGCACCATCCAGACTGCAGCATGCACAGTTCACAGCTTCCACTGCTGCTGTGAGCAAAGCAGGTGATCAACTCTTTGCAGCCCTGTCTCAGGGACTCTGGTATCAGAGATACCAAGTACTGCTCTGAAACAAAGGCCCTTTGGAGAAATCACTTGTGTTCTCTCAGACCAATTTTAACTCCCCACTACATCAGCCTCTGCTGTTTGGCAGCGTGGCCGAGCACTGCCCACCTTGTCCCTTCTGTGACTGACTGAGGGAGTGGTCTGGGTCGTGTAAAACGTAGGCATTTGATAAGTGATGTGTAGGACACTTTCAAACCTTTAGGTCTGAATGTAAGTTACTCCATGCTGTTAGCACGTTCTACCATGAGAGCTCGTTAGCTTATGTGCCTGTTTGCAGGTACAGCCTCATCCCTGCACAATGAATTCCCTCAGGACCCACAAGCACATAATGAAATAGCCAGAACAAAGTGCTGCCAATACCACAGGAGGAATTTGGGGGCTAGAGCATGGCCAGGGCAGACTGCAAGGTCACCTCCACCTCACACTCCTTCAAGGAAGCACAGCTGCAGGCACACCAGCATCGAATGCATCCATGAAGAGCTGATGCATACAGTAAAGCACATTATTCACCTGTGTTATCAGACACCCACAGGGAATATTAGGGGCAGAAGTTTCTGAGATGCCATTACTAGGTACATAAAGCAAAGCTTTAGAGGCAGCATCACATCCTCCCCACAACTGCAGAAGGGCCTAGCAACACTAAAGCTCGCGGGGTCATTCTCACCTGCCATGGTAGCTCCTGTGGTGCTGCAACCTTCTCCAAGGAAATTGCATGTCCCCACGCACCCGCTGCTCTCAGGGCCTGGCTGTGCCGCAGCCGTGCAGGACACTACAGAGAGCCAGATAGGAAGAGTGGGCACCTTCAAACTGGTGGTTAATTCCTAGCCCACCCTGCTCCTCCCAGCCCCAACAAGGCACATTTACACCCCAAAAGCATGTGACTAAAGACACCAGTGGGGACCCTAGTAGAGCTCCCAAACCCTTATGACTGATCCAGACAAACTGGAAGGACAGCAAGGCTGGTGTTATTTACGTAGAAGAATTAGTTTCCCAGACATTACACTAGCACACATTATTACTCAGTCCTGCAACATCCCCCCTCCAACCTCCTATAGCCCCACAGCTCCCACTTCTCACAGCACTCTCACAGACCTGCAGTCCATCGCAGAGCTTCATGTCCCACTCATTTTGCAAATCCAACAGCCCTACAGCACACCTCTACTTGCTGTGCAGCCTACTTCCTTCTTCTCCTCCTCCTTCCACTTGCCAGGCAGATAGCAAGAACCACAGCTAAAACCAACTCTCCGCAGATTTCTTTTAGCACCCTTATGCCCTCCCCACCTCCTCACAGCTGCAGCAGATCCCAGATGATCTGCTGACCACAGGGACCTCAATTAGCAGCCACTGGTGCTGCTTATCACTTGAGGGACACCGGGGAAGGCTCTTACAGGGATGTGGTAAATCCATTTCTGAAGAGCAGTTTGCCTATGGATTGTTTTCTTGACAAAATATCTTTTTCTCAGCCTTTTAACACTGTTTTACTTCTGCAGAAAAATCTGTTTGCAACAGACATTGCCGTTCACCTGGAGAGGTGGCACAGAAACAGCCCCCACACAGTGCAAACTGGTGCATTTGGAAAGTTTGCTTGCCATGGTTACTTCTGCTGACCACGCAGCACTGAATGTCTGTACGTGCACGCACAGACAAACCCTTTGAAATGTGCTAGTGGAAGAGAGCTTAGCAACACGGGGTTAGCCAGTTCTTGCAAAGTTCATGTACAAGTGCTGAGAACACACAGGAAAGCCCCAGGACACAATCTGCCCAGAGGCATGGTGCAGACCTTGTGCCCATTTCCCAGACAAGCTCCATTAGCCTTTTGCTGAATGTTCTAGCCCAAGTTCCTCATGAGCCCTCCCCTGCTCCAAGTGTATACCCTTAACGATCTCTCTCTGTCCCTTTCCACCATCAGCCTGAAGACCAGCCTGCAGAAAAAAGTGAGCCAGGACTCGATGGATCTTTCAGGGATCCCCCTGACCATGCGGGATGTCCACCGCATGGCCTACTACCTGCAGAACAACGGGGACCACCTCACCTCCGTGGACCTGAGCTTCACCGAGCTGAACGATGACATGGTGCGCCTGCTGCTGCCCTTCCTCTGGGCGCTGCCCAAGCTCACTCACCTTTCCCTCAATGGCAACCGACTGACGCGGGCGACCATGAAGGAGCTGACTGACACCATGAAAGACATGAACAAGTTCCCTTGCCTGGCCTGGGTGGACCTCGGCAACAACGTGGATGTCTCCTCCATGCCGCAGCCCTTGCTCGTGGGCCTGCGCAAGCGCCTCAGCCAGCAGACCACGCTGCCTACCATCTACGAGGCACTCGACTGCGACTCAGAGATCTCCAGCGGGCAGGAAGGCAGCCAGCTGGAGGATGAAGCAGCAGGAAGCACCCCGCCACGTGCTTTCCCTCAGCAGGGCTGCGAGAGGTGACTGGACAACAGGCCGGCGCTGGCACACTGAAGCCGCCCCAAGGAGAAATTCTGAGTACAAACACCGAGCAGAGGGCCAGCTTTACCGGCTTCCTTTGGCGCTTTTCTCTCACCTTCCCTGGCATCTCCCCCCAACTTGCTGTGAGACAAAAGCCTGTCGGTCCCCCCAGCGTGCTCCACTCCCTCCCCTCACTGCCAAACCCATCGCCCACGTTACAGAGAGGAACCAGTGACTTACAGTGAACCTGGTCCCCAGGCAGGGTCTCACTGGAAGACGGGAAAAGACCTGTCGGAGTCAAGAATATCCTCCAGAAGCCATTGGGTTGAGGGAAAGTGATGTGGGGGGAAACCTAAAACAGAAACAGGCTTGTAGTTTACTTCCTTTCTTCCTTTTCCTAGGCACCTTGGAAGGCTTGTGACCTGCAGTTTTGAGTGTGAAAGGAGGTACCCCAAGAGCCTAGCTGTTGTGGAGCTTAGCTGAAGGGCTCAGAGGCCAGAGCTGGAGCCCGGCAGTGTGTCTCCCTCTTGTGTCTGGCTCCTTTTGTTTTGTTTTTTTCCTATTGTGTGTTTTGTATTAACATCTGAACAAAGGGACTTGGTCAGAGACCATTGGATTGCATAGGCTGGGGCGGACACATGGCTTGGAACTGCAGCATCAGGATATTTGCTGTGTGACCGGGGTGAGAGGGAGGGGAAGGAGGTATGTGTTGGTGGGAGCATGGGGGATGGGATGAGTTGGGATGGGATGGGAAGGCTGAGGGTAGAAAAGGGAGGGGAAATAGTCTCGTGGTTTAACAGGATTGGTTTCAAGAACCGTGTTTTTGTATTAAAATTACAACTTCCAAGTGAAATTAAGGAGAATCAGACAGCTAAGCGCATAACTGTGACACTAGAGGAGCAAGCAGCAAACATGCCAGAGGTGGGCACTTCCCTAAACAAAAGTGCAAAGCGTTGGCTCCTCATGGCATATTGCACACCTCTTAATGCAGAGACTGTGATGTAAGCAGCTGCATTGCCATTTCCAATGCTGTCCAAAACCAAACCAGTGATGCAAAATTTCTAGTGTTTTCCACATTGCTCATGCTCTATATAAACACAATAAACAATTCTCTTGGACATAAGCGTGAAGCACTACTAAGTCTGAGTGTCTGGGCTGTTCACAAACTGCCAGTTGCTGCAAAATAAGGACCAGGGGTTCTTGTGCAGTGCCTGAGCAGTGGGAGAGGACCAGCAGGTGTCACTTGCACCAGTGAGTGTGGTTCATTCCTCATAGGAGGATGAAACATCTGTGTTCATTTGAGGTAGGCTGTGGCCTTTCATGTTAAAAAAAAAAAAAAAAAATTATCACAAGTCTTCTCGATTATTTGTCCCCACAGGAATTTGGGGAGCGGATATGATTTTGAAAGACTTAAGAGTTAAAGAAATCAGATGGATTAAGTAGAATCCCAACATACAAATCCTGGCCCTCCTGAATTACAAATGGTAACCTTGTCTGTCTCTGCTGACTCTCTCTGGGAGTCTCAACACATAAGAAACTCTCATATACTAAGCCACACAAATCCACATGAAATGGATTCTTTCATACTCCTTGCTGATCTCTCAAGATGTTGCAAAAGCAAATTGGTGATACTGACTTATCAAGTAATTCATCCCCTTTGGACCAAGGGTGGGGGCACCGGCTGGTATCAGTATCTCTGATCAGCCGCCAAAAACCTCGAGTAGACCATGTCCTCTGAGGAAGGAGTCTGCTTTAGAGACACCTGTAAGTATTATAACCTGACACCGTGAATCCTGGACCTGGTCCTGCTCGCACTTCGGTCGTTGGATGCTTTGCCACTGGAGCAGGACATGTAACCTTCATCCTGTTAACATGCAGACAGAAGCACTGTAAAGGCTCTGTCCTGCCAGCCCAAAAGAGGAGAAGATACAAGAGGTAAAGCAAATATAGCTGGGGCCTGTGTTAGCTGCCCCATCCCAGCAAAGGTGTGAGAGAAAAGGCCCCTGGCCAGAACATGGTGCTCGGGCAGGAGGATGGGGAACAGGGAGCACTGATGTAGCCAGGCCCCAGCAGAGCCCGGAGCAGGGAGGGAGCATGTTCCCCTGCACAGTTCTCACCCCCAAACACTTTTTAGCCCTCCTAATGAATCTGGATAAGTGGCGTAATTTCTGTGGCACAAAATGTATTTGGGAAGCATGAGATCACTTTGCAGAAGGCAAAATAGCGTTTCTCTGTGGCCATTCCAATTACTGGGGAAAGGCTGTGCTGCTTTCAGAGGTCACCACCTGCCTTTCTTCCCACAGCTCACATTTCCCCGCTCCACGCAGTATCTGTTTCCTCCCCTATTGTGGAAGAGATAGTATTTATTTTTTTTCCTTTTATTCTCTTCCTTCTAAAATACCTTTCAGCAAAAATGAAAAGCATTTTGAATGTCAGCAGGATCTGCTTAAACTCTTACAGTCTAAGGAGAGCAGCAGTCTGTTCCAAGAAGAAATCTCGGGCACGAGGCTCGGTGCCACCTGGTGAGTCACGGTGACATATCTAGAAAGAGGGAGCAAGGTGCTGAGCATTCAGTCTGAGCGCTGTCTGTCAGGCTCTGTGGGGAGGCACCTTCTCAGCCCTTCTATCACGGCAGTGCACCCCAGAAAGGAGGCAAGAGCCGCAGCACGCAGCCACCACTGACTCAGCTCTTCCCTGCAGAGTCCCTGGCTCAGCCCCAGGGAGGATCCGTGCAGACCATTTCCAGCCTGGTGTGTGCTGTGCTAATCAGCGGGATGGAGAGGAGACATTCAGCCCCTTGCAAGGGAATTCTCTGCTAGTCACTGGTGATGCCTGGCTGCCAGTTGGCAGCTCCAGGAGCAAGAGAGAAAGCAAGGCTTGAAACAGACTGGTTCAGCTGAGCAGCTGTGGGACCTGTGTTTATTTCTCCATATGCACTTGGCTGCTTTGCCATAGAAACCTCCCCATTGAGAGCTGGTTGTGAATGAATACGTGCCAATGCACATCATGAGGTCCTGGCCTAGGAAGCCACCAGTGCCTTGGATCCACTCTAACAGGCTGCAGCTTAGCTGCGGACAAACTATTGCAGGACATCCAGCCAATCCCCGGCAGCTCCTGGCTGCACTGGCAGGGGGAGCACAGCAGCGTGCATCCAGCTCCAGAGCGGGGAAATGCCCCTGCACAGCCCTCCAGAGGAGATGCATGCTCAGGGAGCAGGACGGGCAGCCCCAAACCCAAAGGAAGCTGTTTTCATAAAAGCTGAGTTCACAAACCAGAGAGGATAACGCAACCCAAACAAGCCTTACCTTGCACAGGAGGAGGAAGCTCAGGGCTCTCAAAGGGGATTAAGAGGATGAGCTGCTGGTCTCCTCACTGATACCCAGAGGAACCAGCTCTGTTCTGCTGCTAAACCAGGGGATGCCTTGCAGTGAGCCTCTGTCTCCTGTGAGGTAGCACAGCAGGAGATGGATCCCTGTGGTACCAAATACTCTCCTCAGCACTGTACTTGCTGTCGCAGGGCCGTAACCTCAGCTCCTCCAAGCAGCTCACACCTCTATCCAGACACACACCAGACCAAGTTCCATCCCTGGCAGTTCCCCAGCCTCCCTCCCTCTGCACGTAAGATACAAATGGCCAGCCCAAGGGGAGACGTGTGTTATGCAGCAGGAAGGAGGCTGCAGCAGAGCAGAGCAGTGTCGCAGACATTTCCTCACCACAACCTCCCACAAGATAATCAGTCTCACAAAAGATCTCAGAGTGAAACATGTAAGCGTACCCTTCAAAGGAAGCCTTCCAGAAGGAGAGGTCACCAGGTGCAAAGC